ATAAAAACATAGCCAGTACAGGTTAAATTCGAACAATTGATGCTAGGTGCTTTTTATAGATTTGACATAAAATGCACAAACACTTCTGCAAATATCCCAAATTTTGAAATAACTAGTGTGACTACTTCGTTTCAATCGAAGTAGAAAGAATCGGCCTTCAAATATGTGGTTGTTTATTCAAAACAATTATTTTTAACTTTAATAAAATGATATCCCTAGATTTTTCCGGTGTGTGTCAGGACTGTTTCAGGGCTGGTAGACCTCGATAAAAGAAACATATTTCCTCTTTGCCGTTTTTGGAATATAGTAAGTCCAAAACAATCGAGTTATTTTACTTTGAAAATTTCCAAAAAAAATTTTGCTTAAATTTTGAGAACCACTGGATCTTTTCTAGGGTTTTTCTCTTGTAAATTTTAATCTACTACCCATGCAGCCATAATATTATATAAGAAATTAGGGTTTTTAACTAAAAACTAAAAAAAAATTTCACTATAATAAATACTTAATTTCTTACCTCACATATTTATTTATTGTTCAACATTATAAAAATAAAGAGAATATTTCTGCGCCTATTATGACGCTTTTTGACGATTTTATTTAATCACCGAGTAGTTTAGTAACATTAAAGCTGTAATTTTACTCTTCGTAAATAACAATTAGTAACAATATACACGAATTAAAAAATTCCAACTGGTTTCAAAGTAATAAGTATGCATTTTTTTCGTTAAATTACATTTTAATACCAACTTATTTGTATTTAGTCTGAGTCAGTGTAATTATCACAAATTAGAAGCTATTGTTACAATTATTATGTAATAATAGACCATTATTAACAATACACATTCAGTTAGTTCTAGTAATTATATTAGCATTATTTAACAAACCTTTTTTATTTCTGTAGTTGATTGAAAACAGTTCAAATTAAATTAAGCTTAAAGCTATAAAAATTTAAAATAGGCTTTCAAAAACCTCAATATTTACAAACAAAAATTTACTGCTACCACTTCGTATCCATTAAGGTTTTTATTTATAAAGTTTACATTTCTTATCCCACTTTTAGTGGTCAGGAATCTTGAAAAAATTCTAAATTTAAATCCACACGAAAAACAGATTGCTAGATTTCAGAGTGGACTGTTTATCATAAATCATAGGTGGCAGTGACCTAAATCCAAATGTATGTTTTTTTACGTAGAATTTAATTGGTCAGTCTTTTGGCCTTGAATCAAATTCTATTTCTCTGGATTATATCATTGGCAATTTTTTTGTTTTGATGAATTTTCAGTTTAAAAAGGACTCTAAATAAAACTTTTTATTATGATCTGTTAATTAATGAAGGATTGTGTTTACAACTTTGGAATTCTTAAAATTTTAAATGAAACTCATACCGAGAGTATGTTAAATGATCGTTAAAACAAAAATCTTGTTGAAAATATACATATAGAGCCTAATTTCACAGCAATACTGTAAGTTTTAGGGTATAAAAATAATAATAATTAGTTTATATGACGCCTGTTGTATAAGTTTATAACGTCTATGAAATATAAATAAAAAGATTTTTCAATTAATATAAGATAAACAATTTTAAAGTCAAAGTTATTTTCAAAAATATACAGGGTGGTCCGAACTGTATTCCGGAAACTTTGGCAGCATATTCTGCACATAAAAATAAGTAAAAAAGTTCGTATAAATGTATGTCCTAAAATGCTTAGTTTTTAGAGATACAGGATGTAAAAGTTTCATTTTTATTTAAACGTTTGCAAATAATTTCTGAAGTAACGTCAATACTGGGATAAAAATTGGTGTCTGGCAGTTTTTTGACATGGGAAATTTGATTTTGATGTCAATATGACTCCTATTTGTAGGGGGCGCCACCTACATGTGTTTTAACTGTTTTGAAGTGTCATAACTTTCGTCCGAAAAAATATACATTTCCATGACTTTTTACGTAAAAATGTCTCCTGATAAAAATCGCTACGAGTAACCGTTCTCAAGATATTTATAATGGAAATAGTCAATACATGTCATTATTGACAAAAAATCAACACGTTGGGGGGATAGTTATTTGACTGAAATAATAAATTCGGAAAATTTTTATTTTTTTGAATTAATCATAAATTTTTCTGCGAAGAAATGATGATAAAACAGTTTCTGTTGAATTTTTGGCACAAAAACATTTCAAATTTATCTTTTCAGGCTAATAACTATTTAGTCGACATGTCAAAAAACTCCCAGAGATCAATTTTCATCCAAATATTGACGTTACTTCAGAAATTATTTGAAAAAAATCGAAATAAAAATGAAACTTCTACACTCGGTATCTCCGAAACTAAGTATTTTAGGACCTACATTTATACGAACTTTTTTACTTTTTTTAACTGCAGAATATGCTGCCAAAGTTTCTGGAATACAGTTCGGACCACCCTGTATACAGGGTGAAGTACATACAGTATAGTAATCGGGAATATCTCGTTAGACAAAAAATACTACCAGAAAGATCTTTAATATACAGGGTGATAAGTCTCAATCAAGTGCAAATATTTTACGGTGTCGTATATTTCGATCCCAGGGAACACACGATGATTTTTTTCTCGAAAAAAGGTTTTTCAAAATTTTGTATTAAATATTCAAAAATATCTAGGAATATGTTTTTAGAAAAATTTTCTCAAAAAGTTCTCAATAGGCAGTGTTGCCATTCTGTTCCCTTATAAGTAACTGTCGAGTTAACAACATGTATAGCCTAAACGTCAAATTTAGTGATTGCCACAGCCACTGTACCATAAAGAGAAGATATGTGGCTATCTTTTTCAAAAATTAAATTGTCCAAATGAGCGATTAAAAAATTATCATAAATCATTTTTTTCAAATGGAAATCCACTTTTTTTATTTCACTCGTGAAAAGGTTTTTTTGTTACTTTCGTTTTTAAAATTTGTTAGTTTTTGAGTATACATGTTCCTGTACCTAAAATAAATCGTTTTTCCGGACACCCTGTATACTGTAACAATTAAAATAAAAATCCATATAGATATAAATATGTTATTCATCAGCAGTGCCGTCTTTACGTAAGGACCTGATGGGCTCTGGCCCCCAGAGTATTAAGGGCCCCAGCTCTAAAAAGGCCTCAAAAACGACAACATCGATTTTTTAAAGCTTATAATAATATTTTTAAATTGAAAAACGAATGCAATTTGATATAATAAAACAAGTAAATGCAAAAGTAAAGTGTTTTGGTGTATATTGTGGTAAATTATAGTGTTTTATTTTACTGTTATAACACCAAAAGTTCCAACCCCAACTGTAATAAATTGGAGGTATTAAATTATTGAACATAATTTTGCTGACGAGCCATATACCATTCACGGACCATGCTGTATTAGATCAGGAAATCCCCGACCGAATGTTCGCAAGTATTTAATGGCAACTTATGATGGAAAACAGTCAGAGTGATTTTGTAAGTCCTCCAAGATTCGAGGGGCTCCTTTGCTGTCTCAGGCCCGTGGCTCCCGATATACTAAAGACGGCACTGCTCATCATCGGTAAAGAAGCTATTAAGAAGAAGTTATGCTGTGCATTGGTTGCAATTTGAAATGTTTATTCAGTAAAAATAAATAATGAAACCATTGAAAAATCACTTAAAAGCTAAAATAAATAAATTCAGTCTCAAAATATATAAAAAATAATAATTATTCGATATTTTAAATAAAGAAAATTACCCCTTGATTTAATTTCCTAAATAGAAAATGCCATTGACAATTACTGGGGCCTGATAATTGATAATAATTAAGTAAATATCTGCTCCCATTTATACTGTTTATTGTTTATAGTTTGCGTATACGCATGGTTTGCATACTCCTCCTACAAACTGCTTCATAACTACTGAACTGAATTGGCCTTGTTTTCCAGTTGAATAAAAAATGATTTATTAAGATTCGGAGGCCCCCTAAAAGATGAGGCACGGGGCGGACCGCCCCTACCGCCCCCCTTTAGTCCGCCACTACTAATAAGCTGTGCATTTTTTTTAAACAGAATAATAATACGCGCTTATATATACCGTATGATCGAAAAAAAAGGCGCCCAGTGGGCTTGAAATGAACATCATCGATGACATTCCTCATATAATTTTACATATAAAATGGCAGCGATCTTTATTTCATAACCATCATTGCTGACGCCGTTTTTTTTTAATCATATTTTATTATGCATTAAAATTATTGTTACTGCATTTTCACAAAATTGTAAATATATTTCAAAAACGATTTTAAAAAGATGCGAAGGAGTGAGGCAAACACTAAACGAAATACTTTTATTTCTATCGTAAAACGAAAAATGGCACAATATACAGGGTGTTACGTTTAAAAATATGACTTTATTCATTCGGGATTTTGGGACATTCTATACCTTACGAAAAATAAAAAATAATTTTAAGTTGTATAGCTCTAGTAGTTTTGTATACCACCTCACCGGTCACAATTTCTAAAATTGTAATTTGTAATCATTTAGCTACCAATAAATACTCTGTGTAATATAACTCTGTATATTTGCCATGAGATCTACCTGATAGTATTTTTTATCTAAAATATATTTCCCGTTTTCTACATTTCAATTTGTCAACCAATAATCCAGTCAATCAATATCTCGTATTATATATTAATAGTTTTTTGTTACTGTTGATAACAAACAAAACAAAAATACCAAAAAAAAAAGATTATAACAAATAATTCAAAAATGATTATTATATACAGTATGTCCGCGTATCGTCTTTACTAAAGGACTTTGTGCTTCTTTAACGTTTTCATTGAGCAAAAAATATGACGTTTTGTAAGACTATAACCATTCTAGCTAGAGCAAGCAGTTTTTTTTAAAGAATCCATTTTTCTCAAAATGTTAAAAATAAAAAAGTGTTTTTTCTTGTAAAGACAATCCGGGAACATACTGTAGATACTCTTTTTATTTTTTTTAAAGCCGAAAAAAAAACATTTAATGTTCTTTAAAAAAAACTTACAGAGAAAAAATAAAGTAATTGCTTCCATTCCCAGTCTTCTTTTTATAATCACTGTTACTTAAGTCACTTTATCCTTATTTTAACGTTTTTCGCACTATGAAAAAAAAGCTCTTTCGCATTATTGTCTTACAAAACTTTAAACACGCGTCTTGTACCTCGCAATCCCGGAATTCTAAATTTATCCCAAGAGTCCCGACAGTTCCTAGTCCCGATTCTGACTAAACGCTCATAGAAACCGCTCCTGCAATATTGCGTTATAGTTTCGAAATTTTTAGCAAAAATAGAATATGCCAGCGCCTGCGCTTCAAACCCATTTAAATAGTCGGTTTTTACCCGCCAAAAACTGATGCATTACACAGTTTTTTCTTACTTTCAGAATGTAATTTTGTTAAATTATCTGAGGTTGAAAGGTTATCTCAATTACAGAGAGTGCTTTTGACGGTTCCATTCGAAAAGTGTACCAAAAGTTAATAATCATTTTCGTTAGATGTCTTTTTGACGATTTTATTTAATGTGATTTTGACGACACATAACCTATTGTTTCCATCTTTGAATAAGAAGACTAAGGAGCATAATGCTATCCATGTATTCATGCATGGTGGGCGGAAAAAGTGCCATAAAAGCACTCTAGGGTGGGGATCCTTGACAGTTCTGTTTGACGATTCATTTGACACATTTGAATTTGATTTGAAATTTTGTGGATTTGTCAGTCTTTAAGGAGCTTATTTTATGTTATTTATTATTTATTCTACTACTATGATAGTTGTATAAAGGTAGTAAATCTAGATGGAAATTGTGGCAGCACTTAAATTAACAGTGACACTATCGCGATTTATCGAAGAAGACTCTAAAATAGTTGGTTGTGTAGCGTGCGGTAGATCTCGGCAAAAATTGAGTGAAATAATGGAACAACTTTTCGCTAGTAAGTGACTATATAATATACACACGTGTAGTAAACCGATCATTTATAAAATTCACTTAAATTAACTAAATTATATATTTTTCTTGCATTTTAGCTTTTATTTATTACTTGTCAAAGATTAGATGTCAAAGAATTTAGATACGTTAATTTGACTTACCTGCTTCAGTAGCGTATCGGATGTTTGTGGTAATAAATACTTATTATAACTTTTCTATTTTTATTAGAATTATATATTTTTATAACAATTTTAATAACTACCAACATTTATTCACAACGTAAAATAAAACAACAAATTATTGAGTCTACCCCACGTCTACCCTACATCATAGTTTTACATTTTTTAAATAAAATTAGAAAGACACTGATAAACCGGAATTTAAGTCGGCCATCTTTGAAGCCCATCGCGGTATACCTAAGATTTTTGATATGCTCCTTCCTTAGTCTTCTTATTCAAACGTTCCCATGAAGCTACAAGTAATATTTCTATTTACGATTTGTCATTTTTATACCGAAATATGCCAGATGATTTAAATATATATGATCGAAAAAAAAACGGCGTGAAAGAAGGCTGGGGAATAGCAATCGATGATAATTTTGACGAAGTCAAGCCCTAGACGTTATTTACTTGGCCCATTCTAACATATTATGATTTTAGCTAAGTTTTCATATTTTTGCTTAAACAAATAGTGTTTTAACATTTGTCTAGAAATATCGCTGTCATTTTATATGAAAAATTATTTTTTAGGAGATGTGATAGCATTGATCTGTCTCGAGCTGTTTTTAGCCGACCATACCAATAGGTATCGTAGGCTATTAAGATCGGCAAAAAAAAAGTTTTTTTAATTTCACTCAAAATAAGTCATTTGGGTCATAAATGACCCAAATACAAAATATTTTCATAGTGTCTGTCCGTCTGTAACACGATAACTCAAAAACCGCTAAACCGATTTTAACCAAATTTGGCACAAAAATACTGTGGCACCCGAGAATCTGGCCATTAGTTTTTGGTGGGGTTGTGGGGATAGTAAGGGGGTATGGGAGGGGGTTGATAATTTAAAAAAATCGTAACTCCAAAATTACAGTAGCTAGCGAAACGCGGTTTTCAATTTAAGATTAGGAATAATATTTGCAACAAAATTTGTAATAACATCAAAATCAGTCAAAGTCGCAGTTTTTGAGATAAAAAAATTGGAAAAATTCCTTTACTTTGAAACTAAAAGAACTGCCCATCAACTTTTTATTAACATGTTTTAGTATAGGCGGCTATACACGTGCCTCCCGGCGCCATTTTTTTTTTTTTTCGATCATACGCCCTTGTATAATACTATTTTTTTAGTTTTAAGCTATTGAAGACGTATTTATATAGTTTTTAACATAAAGCATCTTTTCTATCTCTCCCTGGACAGGGTGAGTCTTAAAAACATAATTTCTTGATAATATAGCAACATAGGTAGCAGATTAAATTCACAAAAAAAGCAAACCGGGAAAAGATCCAATGGTCCTCAAAATTTAATCAAAAAAATATTTTTTTTTGGAAATTTTCAATGTAAAATAATTCCGTTATTTTGCACTTATTTGAAAAACGGTAAAGAGAAAATATATGTTTTTTTTTATCGACATCTAGCAGCCCTGAAATAATAAATAATTGCACTTATCTAAGACTCACATTGTATAAAGAAAAATATTACCCTGTATATCTACGTTTTATTTTTAATCACATTTTTCAAGTTGGCCTACCACACTTATGTGTCAGAAAAAATAATTCATTTTTTATAACATACTAGATATAATTTAAAACAAACTATTTTGTTTATTGCATACGCAAGGTCAAGAATGGATTATGCAATAGCTCATTATGAATCATTTATTTTAAATGCAAGGCATACATATAGTTTATATTTTTAAAACGCAATATATATGTCTGTCCTATATCATTTACAGATAATTTGCAAAGGGACAGTATAGCAGATAATTTGAAATTATTACATGTTCATTTCTTTAAATAAAAATATATTTAAACAATAGTTATATAAATAATTAAATATTATTTTTATTGGATTTTAAAAATGATCTAATTCCAGAATTATTAAAACACTTATTATAAAGGAATTGAAATGTCTCATTAAAAGCAGATCAAGCATGGTATGAAATTACATACATTTTAAAAGATTATTACTAAATTAGCTATATTTGTTCAGATTTACTCTATCTTCTCCTATTTTTTTAAATTGGAATTTTGAAAATATTAAAATCATATATAATATATTAAACTAATTTATAATTCAGTTTATAAAAATATATGATAAAAAAATAAAACATTATTTTTAGTTCAAATGGCCTTCCCTTATCATTAATCTTTGGTTATCTCATATTTACAATATTTTACAATAATTTATTATTTTACAACTCTATGATCATAATTTAATATTACTTTACTTGTATATCATTTTTTAGTTTTTCTATGATATAATATAGCCAATATATACAGTGTGACCCACTCAAGACCGGGCACCCTCCATAAAATCTGTGTTTATAGTCCGATTTTGATGATTTTTTTTTCAAATATAAAGTTTCAAAAAATGTACTTTAGGGCTCAATGTCATGTTATTTCACAAAAAACAAGGCCTACTTAATAAAGTTTTTGTGGTGAAAAATTTGCAAAATCATATTAGCGACTTTTTTTCAAAAAATTTGAGTACACCCCTACATTCGGCATCCCCCAAAACAGTTCTGTACCAAATTTCGTTTAAAAATATTAATTATTAATAATTCTGCAGTTAAATTAAATAATTCCCAATTTTTGCCAATTTAACGATGAGTTATCAAGCAACCCTTGAAAAAAACAATCCACGACAACGAGTTTTATTACAAACAATGATAAAAATACTACAAGCAACACAATAACCGAATAATAAGTTAAACATATTCAAATAATTCTAGTTGCTTCTACCAGCCCTCCATTCAGTTCAATACATTTGTCGCATCTTTTTCTTAAATTAACAGTTACATTCCTAAGCTGCTGTGGTGTAATATTTGCAGAAGCCTCTGTAATTCTAATACGTAATTCATCTACAGATTGAGGTCTAGACTTGTAAACTTGTTGCTTTAAGAAACCCCAAAGAAAGAAGCGGGCTATTTCAACCTATCCACTTATTTTCAAAATTTTCATTTAACCATTCCCTGACAACTGCCGCATTGTGCACAGGTGATCCGTCCAATTGAAATTTTAAATTCAAACGGGTTTGGCATGGTAAATTATGTATTGCATCCCAAAAGTCATTAATCAGAAAATTCAAAAACGTTGGACTATTCAAATTTCTCTCAAAAAAATATAGACCAATGATTCTATCATCAAGTATGCCACACCACACATTTAATTTCTGAGAATACTGTCTTCTTGTATTGATCACCCATTCAGGGTTTTCGACTGCCCAGAATCGCGAATTTTGAGAGGATACTACTCCGTTTGTACTAAATGTTGCCTCATCACTAAATAAAATTTCTTTTAAGAAATTTCTATTATTTAAATACTCTGCTTGAGCCCATAAGCAGAATTCTAATCGTCTAACATCATCTCCGTTTTCCAAAGTGTGTAAAATCTTTGGTTTAAAGGGTTTAACTTTATTAGTTCGCAAACATCTCCTAATATTTTCCCTTGGTATATCCAAATCAACACTGGCGCCTCTAATGCTTGCACGAGGATTGTTACGAAAATATTCTAATATTTCCTCATTCCGCCTATTTATTCGATGTTCCGGCCTTCTGTTTTTTAGTAAGTATTTTGACACACAACCAGTTTCATTAAAAACTCTATTTATTCGTTGAACCGTGCTTCTACTTACTGCAGGTCTGTCGGGATGTCTGTTGTTAAATTCTCTGGCAGCTTCTCCTGCTTGAAGATAGTTATCACCCACTAAACGAATAATTTCAATTTTATCCCTAATATTTAATTGTTCCATAATGCAAATAATATTTCTTGATACAACACTTTTCTGCGTGCTATTAAATTAATATTCAATTCTACGCTGCAAGAATTGACAGCTAATAAAACCCATTGTTGTGGATTGTTTTTTCAAGGGTTACGTGATAACTCATCGTTAAATTGGCAAAAATAGGGAATTATTTAATTTAACTGCAGAATTATTAATAATTAATATTTTTAAACGAAATTTGGTACAGAACTGTTTTGGGGGATGCCGAATGTAGGGGTGTACTCAAATTTTTTGAAAAAAAATCGCTAATATGATTTTGCAAATTTTTCACCACAAAAATTTTATTAAGTAGGCCTTGTTTTTTGTGAAATAACATGACATTGAGCCCTAAAGTACATTTTTTGAAACTTTATATTTGAAAAAAAAATCATCAAAATCGGACTATAAACACAGATTTTATGGAGGGTGCCCGGTCTTGTGTGGGTCACACTGTATTTATTATTTTTATTAAAATAAATAATTCTGCTACAATCGATCACTTAAACTATCGTTAAAGCAACCCGTTTCTAGTCCCTATCATAAACACGTCAAAACAGTATATATTCTGTGGTCAAAACATTAACCTCAAATTATGCTTTTGTTTTTGTAAATAACGGATTCCTACTTGATTTGTTTTTATATTATCAAAAGCAACAATAAAATGGAAATATTACAATTTGTAGATGCTAAAACAGTACCCGATATTGTTCACGAATATACGCCTGCTCTGAGAAATAATTCAGTACCAATTATAATCGATAATGGCAATTATTTCCTAAATTTTTTCTACTTCATATTAAGAATGTTTCTTTCAGGATCTTATATGGCTAGAGTTGGTTGGGCTACGAGTACCGAACCTCTTTTACAATTTAAAAACCTAATAGCCAAGCCGCGACGAGAAAGATCGAAAAAAGAGTCCGTAGAATTAACTCAAGCTCCTCAACTTCAAGTCGGCAATGACATTGTTAACATCGAAGCATTAAGATTTCAATTAAAAACACAATTTGATAGAAATGTGGTCACGCATTTCGAAGCACAAGAACATCTTTTTGATTATGCTTTCAGTCATTTGGGAATTAACACTGAAAACTGTGTGCCGCATCCAATAGTTTGTACTGAAGCTGTGCTAAATCCAAATTCATCCAGACAGTGTAAGAAAATCACATCTATAAGGGTTTTTATGTAGAATATTTGTTAGATTTTTTTAGTAATGTCTGAGTTATTGTTCGAATGTTACGATGTACCAGGAGTGTGTTATGGGATAGATGCCTTATTTGCGCATCACTTTTATCATGAAAAAATTAAACCAGAAGGTTTAAAAGATGTTTTGATCGTTAATGTGGGTTACCAGTCATGTCATATAATACCAGTAATTAATAACAAAACAGTTTTTGAAAATACCAGGAGACTGAATACAGGTAAAATGTTAATTTCTTATTTTTTTTTATCTAAGTCAATATAATCTAGGTGGATATCATATTATATCATTTCTACATCGTATACTACAGTTAAAATACCCATCGCATGCTACCTCAATCACTTTGAGTCGAGCTGAAGAATTACTATGTAGGTTATGTAAAATTGCGGTGGATTACAGAGTGGAATTGAGTAAATGGGCTAATCCAGATTATTACGAGGAGCATGTTATAAAAATTCAGCTTCCTTTCACAGCTACAGTAGTTAATTCAGCAGTTACAAGTAAATTTAAGTTTTTATTAGATGTATTAGTGTTATTTTGGAGTTTATTATTGTAGTTGAGCAACAAAAAGAGAGAAAGAAGGAATTAGCAAGAAGATTAACAGAAATTAACGCAAGAAAAAGGGAAGAAAGATTGGCGGAAGACGAAGAAAAAATTGGACAGTTGTTGGATATTAAAGAAATGATTGAGTATGGTGCTGATAAAGCTACAGTATGAAAAATTAATAATATTTGAAATTAAATGATAGTTTGGCTTAATTTTTAGGTGGAAAGGACATTGACTGAATTTCAGATTAAGAGTACGTCAGAACTGGAAAAGAATATTTTGCATTTGAACAATAGAATTGAGAAAACTAAACTGAAAATTCTGGCTGCTGCAAGTAATTTGGAAGAAGTGGAAGAACCGCCCGCTAAACAATCAAAATATAGTAAAATGGCGTTTGAAAGTGAAAAAGAACTTTATATGTTCTTACAAAACATCAGAAAAATGGTAAGGATAGATTTTTATTTAATTTCTATTACATTTTTAATTTTTTTTTATTTCTTTTGTTTGTGGTGTGTATGTTTTTGGGACGAAAAATATTGACCAATGAAATTATTAAAAAACGAGATTCTTATTAATTTAATTTCTTCTAATTTTTTTTTGAATTTTTGTTTGTACAGACAAGAAATATTCAGCCTTGAAAGTAATAAGGAAATAAGATATTAATTTAATTTCTATAGTTCTTGTTTTTTTCTTTTATTTTTATTTCATATTTCATTTTATTTATTTATTTCTATGTAATATTTGTTTTTTTTTCCACTTTATTTACTGTTTTTATTTTTTTTTGAGGCAAGAAATATATACTAAGGAAATTATTAACAAACCTCCAAAACAAAAAGATATGAATTTACTTTAATTTATGGCACTTTTGTTTTTTTTTCTTTGTTTTTTATTTCTGTCATTTTTTATTTTCCCTTTGTTTGCTTTTTTATTTTTTTAAGGCAAAAAATATTTACCTAGCAAATTATTAAGAAACAAGACAGGTATTTAATTTCTGTAATTTTTGTTCTTTTTTTTTCTTTTTTTATTCTTCTGAATTTTCGTTTGTAGAGACAAGAAATATTAACCAAGAATGTGATTAAGAAACAATATATGTATTAATTTAAATTCAATGTCATTTTTGTGTGTTTTTTTTCTGTAGATTTTTGTAAACATAAGAATTATTCACCAAGAAAAAGATATTAATTTTAATTCTAGGCCATGTTTGTTTTTTCCTCTATTTGCTATGTTTATTTTTTTTTGAGGCAAGAAATTTTTACCAAGAAAATGATTAAGAAACAGGATTAATTTAATTTCTATGTAATTTTTTTTGTGATTTTATTTCTGTAGATTTTTGTAGAGATAAGAATTATTCACCAAGTAAAAGATATTAATTTTAATTCTATGGCTTTTTTGTTTTTTCCTTTATTTGCTGTGTTTATTTTTTTTAGGCAAGAAATTTTTACCAAGAAACGGTTTAAGAAACAAGATTAATTTAATTTTCATGTCATATTTGTTTTTTATTTAAGTTTTTTAAGTATTTTATTTCCTCTGGATTTTTTTGTAGAGACAAGAAATAGCAAAATAAAACACTAATTCACCACAATACACCAAAACACTTTACTTTTGAACTAGATGCACGTTTCACTAACCGTGTTAGCATCATCAACAGATGATTAAAACTCACTGAGCCCAGTGTAAAAGTAAAGTGTTTTGATGTATTATAGTGAATTAGTGTTATATTTTGCTGTTATAAAACCAAAGATTCCAACCCCCAACTGTAACAAGAAATATTCACAAATAAAATGGATAGAAACAATTCATTAATTTAATTTCTATGGCATTTTTTTCCTCTTTTTTAACTTTCTTTTAGATTCTATTTTTTTGTAGAGACAAGAAATATTGACTAAGAAAATGATCAGGAAACAAAGGAAGCAAGATATGGCTAAAAGACGGACTGCAGCTGGTCAAGAAAGGATGAGAATTATTTCTCAGTTGGCCAGGAAAGAGAAAGGAAATGATGATTTTGGCCTGAGAGATGAGGATTGGGATATTTACAAAACTATTAGTAAAGATGGTAAGGAAAATATATATTTTTATTTTGAAAATTAACTAAAAATACAAAAAGAAAGAAATAAGAAAAATAAAAAGACAATTTTTTGCGATACTGTTGTTTATCGAGTTGTTCATTATTTTTATGTTTTATTTTTGTAAAAATTGACCGTCAATAAGCATTTATTTATTTGTCTGTAATTTCAGGTGGCGATTCCGATAGTGAGGCTGAAAACGAAAAACTCGTGGAATTTGATGAGGTTTTGAGAGCTCACGAACCCTCGGAATTAGGCGAGTCCTCAAATCCAGGAGAAACGCATCAGCTTCACATTGGAATAGAAATATTCAGGGCTCCCGAACTACTGTTTAAGCCGTACATGCTGGGCAGTCAAGAGGCTGGATTATCCGAAGTCATTGGTAAGTTCAATAAAAAAAATTAAAAAAAATAGATCAAAATTTAAAATGAATGTTCCGTGCATGTTCCGTGCTATATAGGGTGTTCCAATATTCCATATCCAAAAATTACACTACAGTAACTTAGATTCAATAGAAGTAACTCATCTCATGGAGGTACTATGATAATGTCTACTAACAACGACTTTACGGCAGTAACTAAGTTCGATACTCTAATATCCGAAAATTTTTTTGAATTTTCCGTCGGTTATCATAATGCTTTTGTTTTTTATATTATTTGTATTTACAGAAACAAAACACCTGACGCTGATGTGCATATTTTCAGTTAAAAATTGCTAAGCTTGCTTGAATCCCTACCTATAAAAAGTAAATTGATTTTGTGTGGCGACCTAAATATTGAATTTTCCAGTGTGTGTGCAGCTAGGGTGTCTCTCCAGTCCATTTTTCATTCTTATGGTATACTCATGCATGTTGACTCACCAACTAGAATATAATAACTAAAACTGGCTCTAGTACTATAGATTATGTCGTGTCGTCTTTTCACCCGGAATTCATTGAGTGTAAAGTCTTTCACTCAGGTTTCTCTGATCATGCGGCAGTATTGACAATGTTTTTGCCACAATCCAAATGCAAAAATACCTCGCGCAAATTGGGCCGTATTTTTTCGGATAAAAATTTTCTAAATTTTCACCACCTATGTCTAACAACTGAGTGGGTTGTCCTCTCGGCTGACGTCGATTCCGAATTTTCTAGATTTATAAATACCTTGTCTAATCTGGCGTGCAGGCGTTTCCTCTTAGGCCTATCAAAAGTAAGCAAGGTATACCCTGGTCTACGACAGGCTTGCGTATATCTGCAAAGGACATGCGCTCATTATCTCACCTTAAAAAGTTCATAGACAGCGTTTTCTTTCATAATTACGTGAAACTTTATAGAAGGGTTTATCGTAAGACTATAAAAGCTGCCAAGGACATTTATTATAATGGGAGGCTAGCCAAATCCGGTAATGTTGCTAAAGAGACTTGGGCTATTATAAATGACTTAAGGAATAAGACTTCTTCGTCTGGCACAGTCTTTAATTCACCTGAAGATTTAAACACTTACTTTGTTAATGTGGCTAAAAATTTAGTAAACACCATAACTCCTTCCCATGATTCACTTTCATATCTCCCTAAAGCAAATGAGAATTTACACAGTTTCTTCTTCACGCCCGTAGCATTAGATGAGCTCCGTAGTACAATTAAAAGTATTAAAAATAAATTCTCATCTGGGACTGATGGGCTTACTCTCAAAATGTTCTCTGAACTTCCGGAATGCACATTAATCTATCTTTAGAATTTTAGAATTTAGAATGAGTGGGAGGGGGGTTAATCACTTCGACCTTACCTTAGATCCATTGTGTCCCCCTTTCTTGAATCATAACTCATCATACAGTCCCAGGGCTTTGACAAAAGCCAGTATCTGGGACGGTTTTATAGAGGGTAGTTCTCCATCTCCAATATCAGTCGTACCAAAATTCATGGCACGAATGGTTGTAGTCTCGGCGCACTCAGTGATGAGGTGTACTGGTGTTTCACCATCTTCCCCACAGAATCTGCATTCGCCGTTTCTTCTTAGTTTCAATCTACTGAGGTGTTCATTGAGGAGACAGTGTCCTGTTAAAAACCCCGTGACAATCCAAAGATTGTTCTTACTCAGACCCAGGAAGATCTGTGATTTTTCTTGATCATAAGCCCTCAGAAACTTCTTCGAGTGTCCTAGACCATTGCAAGATTTCCATTCCAGGTTGCGAATGGAATCTTCCAAGTTCTTGAGTTCCGCCTTGAGTTGGTTACCACTTGGAAAGCAGAACGGTTCTGGTCCAGTTAGTGGAGTGTTCGCTCCTTTCCTAGCTAGATTATTTGCTTTTTCATTGCCTTCTATCCCTTGGTGAGCAGGCACCCAGTGTAGGAGGACTTTGTTTTCTTTGCCTAATTTATTCAGCTTCTCTATGCATTCTTTGACCAATTTCGAATTGATTGATACTGAGTTGATCGCCTTTAATGCTGCTTGACTATCAGATAAGATGGCTATTTCTTGTTTCCGATAGTTCCTATCTAAGATAAGTTGTACGCATCTCTCGATAGCGTAGATTTCTGCCTGTAGGATACTAGGGTAAGTGCCCATTGGTTCAGAGTAATTAGCTCTCGGCCCAAACACTCCGATCCCTGTTCCCGTATTGGTTTTGGAAGCATCAGTATACCAAGTTATGGTATGGTCTTTTAACTGCTGGGCAAGCGTTTTGCTCTTCCAATCCTTCTTATTGCTCAATACTACATTGACATGTTTGTCAAAGTTGTACGTTCTTGGCATATCGTCCACTGGGAGTTGCAGAAGTGGTATTTCCTTTTTGAGGGTGTTCCAAGCCCCTGATCTGACAATTCTCCCAGTACTAATTCCGTTAGTGACCATTCTAATCATTGTCGCATTGGCATATCTACCAATGACAATGTTCAGTTTAATTAATCTATCTTACTACTTTAATTAACGAGTCATTCCAAAAAGGAGTTTTTCCAAACTGCCTTAAGACAGCAATAATTATTCCTCTGCATAAAGGAGGAGATAAAGGTCAAGCTTCGAACTATCGACCAATTGCTCTCCTGCCCACATTATCTAAGATCATTGAAAGATTGGTTAAAAGAAGGCTTCTATCTTTTATCCTTAAATATAAAGTACTTTATACCCATCAATTTGGATTTCTAAGTAACAGTTGCACAAATGATGCTATGTTCGACCTTTTTAATAATGTATACTCTAGCCTGAATAACCATCACTCTACAGCTACAATTTTCTGTGATTTCTCTAAGGCTTTCGACTGTGTAAATCATAATATCTTAATTAACAAATTGCAATACTATGGATTCAGGGGAGTGCCGCTCGAATGGCTTAAGTCGTATCTTGGCAACAGAAGGCAGCTTGTGAGGATTGATACGTCTATGTCTTCTTGTAAGCCTATAAAATGTGGTGTCCCTCAGGGTTCAGTATTTGGCCCTATTTTATTTCTGGTGTTTATCAACGACATTGCAAATCTAGACATTAGTGGTAAAATCTGCCTCTTTGCGGAGGATACTAGTTTCACTTGGAGCGGCCCAGATGTTACGGCACTATATATTACTATATCCAGTGACTTACGCACCATTAAATCTTGGTGCGATTCTAATCTCCTATGCCTCAACCTTTCAAAAACTAAAGTTTTGTCATATAAAAGTACTATACAACCTTTTGTACTTAATAACACCACTATTGACGTCGTGGACTCTGTGAGATTCTTAGGACTTGTAGACAACTCGTTAAAATCGGACTTACACATCGAAGCCTTATCAAAGAAACTAAGCTCTGCCTGTTTTGCGCTAAGATCAGTTTCTAAGGAACTTAACTCATCAACCTCTAGAATGGTCTATTATGCCCTTTTTGAGTCGCATCTTCGTTATGCCCTTCCATTCTGAGGTACTTGCTGCGCGACAAAATTTGATCGTATTTTCAAACTTCAAAAGAGAGCAGTTCGATACTTATTGGGACTAAACAGTAGAACTCACTGTCAGAATTTCTTTAAAAATTTCACAATACTGACTCTTCTTTCCTTATTCATTTTTGAATCCGTTTGCTTAATCCGCAAGCACATATTCTCTATTCCAGAAAGGCCTTCTCACAACTATACACTTAGGAATGCGGAGCACGATATTTATCTGCCAACCCCAAGCTCAGAGCTAGTTAAGGGCTCAATACTGTACAATGCCAAGAAAATGTACAATCATTTGCCTTCGAATATCAAGTTACTTTCATTCTTTCCCGCATTTCGCAAAGCTCTGAAATCATACTTACTAGAGAGAGCGGTAAACGACTTTTTTATTGATGTTTAATCATTTTAACAATTTTTTTGAACAATTTGAACAATTTTGAATTTTAAAATTATGATCATCTCGCACACTGGTTAAATGTCTAGTATTTAAAATTTAATATTTTATAACTCTTGATTTTATGATATATAACATGATTTTATCCATTTACAGTTTTCCTTTTCTAAAATTTTCTAGATACGCCTGTGTTCTGCAATGTCTAGATATGTTTTATTTGTAATTTTATGACGTAAATTTTTTTGAATTGATTTGTATTGTATGACATTTTTTTTTATTATTTGTATATTTGTTTTTGTGCTTTTTTGTTTTGTGAATCCTTTGTCGATGAAGCTGTTTTCGCTTTTTGTACAATAAAGCGTTGTTTTTTTTAAATGATGAATTAAATTTGATCGTTTTATTTTAGAGAAAAACTCATTTGAAACATATTATAGAACTCCTTAAAATGAAGCAAGTTGTTCATTTTGAATAATTTATATGAATTAGTTGATAGATATGAAAATGCTAAAATTAAACGAAAAATTAAAATAATCCGGTCTTTCTGTAATAAGTATTTTTTTCTGATTTTTAGCTTATGTAATCTCGCTTTTTGAACCCGAAGACCAACTAAAATTAGCCTCGAACGTGATCGTGACGGGCAGTTTAGCAAATTTGCCCGGCCTCAAAGAGAGACTGGTCACCGATCTCGTTTCAGTGAGACCGTTCAAATCGACTGTGAACATCAACGTGATGAACAGTCCGAATTTGGCTGCGTGGTATGGAGCGAGGAATTTCTCAAGAAGCGATGAATTTCAACGGGCGTTGGTAACGAAAAAGATGTATCAGGTACAAAACGACTACAAACAACAAAAACTGTTACAGTGCGTCGGGCATCTGTAGCTCCTATAATAAAAAAAACTTAGGCATTCTATTTAAGTGTAAACCGAAAGCATACACAACCAATACATACCAATTAAACTTTTAGTCACGTGATTATAAGCTTGACCGGCACAGCGTTGCCCGCTTTTACATATTTTCTTTTAATCAAAATATTTTAGGAAACAAAAATAAATTCATTTCATCCACAAAACTCACCTCCTTAACAGCACTAAAGTGACATAAAGGGCCATTACTGCCGCTTTCCCTTTCGAAATATTCTAATAAGGTTGCGATGAGTTTTTTGCATTGGCTATTCAGCTGTCTTGTACACTTCGCTCTAAAAGATGTTCTAAAAAGAACAATGTTTGACTGCGAGGTCTGTTAGTAAAGAAAGTTAAGCTTAAAGTATCACAACACAATTCATTTAAACCAAAAACTCGTAATACAAAACTAAAGTGTCAAAACTAATGACAATGTCAGGAAATAAATAAATAAATGTTGCAACTTGACATTTTTTACAACAAAGCTACCACCTGAATCCCCAGCGGAGAAATTTAAATTCCAGTTAGTCAGCCCGGCGCGTAATATGTCCATGGTTGGTAACGATGAATTTAAAAATCGAATAACTATGGTTAGGTCGTCTTCTTATCCTTAGGTTACATTCCCCAGTTCTATACTTTTCACAAAGTCTGGCAACATGGAGACTGAACCCTCCATATAGCTCTCTGGCAGTGGCTTATCATTGCCTATTACCGAGAACCGCACATTTACCACATTGAGTGTCGAAACCGACATAAAATGCGTTTTGTCGTTTCTTCTTCAGATTGACAGAACCTGCACATGGCACTAGCTTCTGCGTCCCACTAGCCAACTCGCATACCTAACAATGTTGCCGTTTGTTGTCTCTTAATTTCACGATTTTCAATTGTCACCTAAACTAGAGACGTTTATTTTTATGGTTTATTTCAAAGTTTGATTGTTATTTGGTTTATTTTGTTAGAACGTTCTTAATAGTAATCAGAATACTAGATAAAGTAGGAATAAGTGAAATGAACAGTTTGAAATGACGTTTTGTGCGCTTTAGGGCTCAAACACACTGACGACCAGGTCGCACCGGCCAGGCCGCACCTACCTCTAAAACCATTAAATCAAATGAAATAGCGCACACTAACGTCCTGGCCGTCCGTTGGTCGTGGCGACCAGAAGGCTGCACGGAAATATTATTATTTTCTGCCGCTTGTTGCCGGTTTTCTTCCAAATTAATAATTTTTCAGATGAAATCCCTCAAATTCAAGCCACAATATTTTATTTTCTATAAGATATAGTGTTTTAGGGTTTTAGTGTAGTTTTTGCACACGTGCAGAAAATCCAAATAGTATACAGACTGGATCAAAGGTAAACTTAAATCTAATCCCTTTTTTTATCAAGGGTCGATTCTAGTAAAAACATTTTTATATGACATACCTACTCTATTTATGGTTGGTATAACACCTGTTATTATACCTTTGAGTTTCGATGTTTAAAAAATAAAAAAAATAATATTTCAAGTTTTTCTACAACCACTTGTTTTTTTTTATTAAATTAGTTTTTTTAGTTGTATTCTAGTCATGTACAAGGAGGACAACTGTATTTTAAATATGATATTTAATTTAACGTTTTTCAAACAGGGTTCATTAGACTATATTTCTACTAGGTACATTATTTTGAAAAAAAAATTAAGAAAACAACTTAAATATTCATAAAAATAGAAGTAATTACTGTTGTAGATTCTTCGTTATATTGTAAACATTGAAATAACTGGAAGCTAAACTTTCTACCTGCTTATATTTAGAGCCAGTGTCTGACGATCTTTTTTTACGATGGCCCTAATATGTTTACTTCTAAAGTCGATAAGGGCGCCATATCAGAAAAAAGAAACAGAATATCTCCCTTTTTGTCGGTCGCGCGTACACAATGCTTTTTGTTTGTTGTGAATAGCAACTTCGCTTTTTAGTTAACTCGGATATTTTAACATTTCTGAAACAATATTTTCTAATTGGTAAAACGTAAAAAATCGTTAGATTTGACAACTCTGTTGAAACTGGTCGTTCATCTGGCCGCAGCTAAAAACGCAATACATCCGGCCAGCCGACGGCCAGGTCGTTGCGACCTGGTCGTCAGTGAGTTTGAGCCCTTAGTGTAGGTTGTTTATTCTGTTATAATTTAATATTTTCGAGAGATTTAAATTTTGTTTATAGATTAAATTCAAATATTTTTATTTATGAAAATAAATTATATTAATTGATAATTTATTAGTAAAAAAAACTTATGATAAGCTGCTAGATCTTAATTTTCACTGCATTTTATTCGGACTGAATGTTAGTTAAATGATCTAGCAATATTTTTATCTATTATTTTTGAATTCAGATATTATATTTTGTTTATTTTGAGGAAAAGTTCAGGTAATTTGTTTTAAAATGTTCATGTAAGTCATCTTCAAACCTACTGACAAAGTCACACATAGGGTATTTTTATTATAACAGTTTGTACAGTGATATTGGTATTATTTAAACCATGACCTAAAACAGTTCTATTATTATCCATCAATCAAGGATATTAAGATCAAATTTTCCATTCTTAAAGAGAACAAAGAAAGACACAGTCAAAGTCTATGCACCATCATTACTAATATCCTGGATGATAATGCTTACAATTCACTTGACTCTGTCTCACTTCTTTGATAATTTGGTCAATTACCTTGTGCCACTTGTGCATGTGATTTTAAATGCCTTATAGTACGAAAGCATTATGTGTCCCGTGGGACAGTTAATGAAGTGAAGGTACTAGTGGTACTAATCGATAGATAAAAACGTGTAGTCCAATAATGTCGATGGTGACACTTTCACAGATGTTGCGTGTGGCTATGATGACGTCATCCAAGATGACCGTCGCTTTATTATGAACCAAGTGACATATCTCCCTGCTGAACCGATTCAAATTTGTCTTATTTTGAGCCTTCAAGACAGATAGACTTCATAATGGATCAGTCAGTCTTTGGGCACCTATAAAAAAAATAAACTTAAACTATGTTTTAACAACAAGAAACAAATAAAAAGTGAAAATTGCTGGATCCCTTACAGAGTTAAATGCAGACCGTTCTCTTTTTGCTTGACTTCTCATTGTCGCACGATCTCAACGTGAAATAGACCTACGCACAACCTTAGGAAAACATGAAATGTCAGCTGTGCCCAGATCCATGTTTGCATTAGACGGAACAACGCATCAGTGCCCAGCTAAAAGTAAATTAATTCAAATCTTCAAGTCTGTAGTGGAATCCACTGCCAAAGATTCTTTGTCATCTGCTCAAGTTCACCAATCAAATAACTGCGTTGCAATTGTAGATGCAATGGGAGAATTGCAGGCTCTTGATAAAACTAGCGCAGTGAAAACTTGTAAAGATCTTGCAGATTTGTTCGCCCAAAAGATCCAAAGGAAATACTGGCAATATGACGAACTTCATTTTATTTTCGACACGTACTTGGTCGCAACACAGTACAAAATATGTGACACAACTGACATATCAACGCGCACTGAAGTTTCTACAACGCACTGCTCTTTGGATTGTTTAAAGATTACTCAAGAAGAAGCCGACATAAAAATTAAACTTCATGCTATTAATGCAAAAGTTAAAGGTACAGATACACTACTGGTATTTGCTAATGATACAGATATTTTAGTTTTGCTAGTGAGGCGCTATGCAAGGCTTCCCGAAAACACCTTTTTTGTACCATCGTCAGGCGAGGCAATATCAGTTAAAAACATATATATTTCACTCGGACCACTAAAGTCTTCAGCACTGCCCGGGTTCCATGCAATATCTGGTTGTGACACCACCGGAAGTTTGTTTGGAAAAGGAAAGTTGTCATACTGGAAGGCATTTGTTTCAGCGAGTGAAGAAGAACTTACTGCCTTGGAGGAACTTGGTACCAGTGATTTAGTACCTGATGATGTTTTGCATCAGCTAGAAATATTTATTTGTCGAGTTTATAAAGCAAGCACTCTAACAAAATCACTTGCAGAATTACGTTGGTCAATGTATACTGCCAAACAAGCGCTTGGAGATAAGTTACCCCCCACTAGAGGTTCCCTTGTACTCGTAATTAAGAGAGCTAACCTTCAAGCCTTTGTGTGGTCAAAAGATGATGAACCAAATGCAGTTATCTCTAATCCAGTTGGACACGGCTGGTATTTGGAAGAGGGAGTGCTTACCCCTGTTTTGTGTGTAGAACCATGTGCTCCAGAGTCTCTTGTTCAACTAATTAGATGTTCGTGTCTTAAAAGTCGATGTTCACCACCGTGTGCCGATGCCGATTTGTAATTTTATTAATATATATGTGCAAATGTATCAATTAAATTTTTTTTAAATACATGAACTCATATAACGTAGACCATATTTTTACCAAAATAAAATAACACAATATTTTTAAATTTTTTTCACTTTAAATCCAACCAGCAACCAAAATATTATTTTTTCGCAATACTTTGAAGAATTAATTGTTTTTCTCTTTACATTACCTTTCTAACAAGCTAAAAAAAATTGAAATGGATTAAATAGCGGCGACTCTGATAAACCAACTCCACTGGCACCTTCCCTTCATGAAGTTTCCTACGGAAAGCTATTTTTATACGTTGTGCTCCCGAACTACAAACTTTTCTTTGCACTAAAATTTTTATTATAAAATTCGCATGTAAATGCATATAGTTTTTAAAGTTGCTATTTCCTCTATCTGATTCGGATGAAATTTTTAACGTGTTTCCGAAGCACACTAAAACACACGAAACTGCGATTAAGCAAATGCGTTTGCAGCAAACACTGCTATAAGAAATACTGGTATTCGTTTCACTTTAATAACCAAATAAATTATATGGGGAATGTCATCAATGTTCATTTCCTAGATTATAGGGTACATATACGGTATAATATCTTGTATAATATGTAAACCGTTCATAAAATAAGGCGACAGCAAACGGCAACATTGTTGGGTATGCGAGTTGACTACTGGGACGTAGAAGCTAGTCCACATTATTCCCTATTCAGCTTACAATGCCCTGTTATTGCTTATCAGGTCTACCGTGAATTTTAGAGAATGTTCTACAATGAACTTTTTTGTCTTTGCCTGTCTCTGCCCTGGCGAGTTTAACAAAATTTCTCAATTCTATTTCATAAAACCTACTGATGGTACCCCGACGCACTGTTGCAGGACCCTGTATACGGTTTTATTTGTTACGTTTTTATCATTACTAATATTGTAGGAAATGGGAGCAGAGTATTTGAAGACATACCAAGCTTCAAATCAGTATATTCCTACCCCATCACCAATCAGTACAGATGTAGATGTCCTAAGTTGAAGAGAAAATTGTATAAATAAGAACTGTTGAAGGTTATTCAAAAATGTATAATTTTAGCTTTAAAAATTAAGGAAAATAGTAATAAAAATAAAAAAAACATTAATTATTGTCACTGTTATAATAATAAAATTATTATGTGTGAAATTTTACTAAGGTATTGACTAAATGTATTTGTTTTGATAACAGTGCATTATATACTGCATCTCAAAATCGCTGATATTTTTTCGCCAACAATATTTTTTTTGGTAAATTAAACTAGTAAAAAATATATTAAAATAATATTATATTCTTAACAATATATTTGAAAAAACCAGTGATGCCATATCAATGAAAAAATCGCTAGCAATATAGTACGAGAGCTAGCAACGTCGGAAAAACAAGTATTTTAAGACATCTGGCTCTTTGATATATCTTTTCAAGAACTTTTCTATGCTTTCTAGAACAGCATGCGGCTCATCTGGCTGCCGGTAAACGTTGCGTTCCCTACTGCGCATTGAAAGAAGATCCTATATTTTTATTAGTCCTTTAAATTCTAGTATTGAATATAAATCGAACATGTCTCCATAGCGCAGTGCGTAGAGTTTCCGACCACGAACCGATGATTCAGAGTTCGAATCCGGGTCAGGGCAAGCACTTTTTTATTTTATTTTCGTTTATATTCCGATAGTAAAGTATTAAATATTTGTTTTTTTTTTTAATTACCAGAATTATTTAATACTTGACTATCAGAATATAAACGAAAATAAAATAAAAAAAGTCTTTGACCTGACCCGGATTCGAACTCTGAATCATACGTGACGGCCATCAGACCTATTATCACGTATGGTGCAGTTGCCTGGTGGCAGAAAGCCAACCAAATAACGGCAAAGAATAAATTGTCGAAACTACAACGACAAGCATGCTTAGCGGTGACTGGTGCCTTCCATTCCACGCCGTCAAAAGCTATGGAAACCCTACTCGATCTACCTCCTCTTCAAATTCTTTTGGAAAGAGAGGCGAGATGGGCTACATATAGGTTTCTAAATATAGAACGAGGAAGCCAAGGAACAATTATGTTCATACAAAACCGCTAATAGAAGAACTACAGTCGGATGAGATTATGGGAATGATCTCGGATCTTACACCACCAGTCCAACTCTTGACGCGCACCTACAACGTCCTGTTTCCGAATAGGGACGAATGGGATAAGCCGGGAAACGGCTTATTACATGCGGAAATGTGTTGGTACACGGACGGATCCAAAAACGAAAAAGGATCTAGCGCAGGAATTTACTGCAGCAGTCCAAAGACTGAGATCTACCACAGTCTTGGAAAACACATCACGATCTTTCAAGCTGAGCTATATGCTATTGAAACCTGTGTGCAACTGCTGGTAGAACAACAATACACCGGGAAAACAATATGCATATTTTCGGATAGTCAAGCTGCGCTGAAAGCACTTGAGGCAACGAAAAGCACGTCTATGACGATTCTTCATTGTAAGAAACTACTCAATATACTGGGAGATAGGAACAAAGTGTCGCTAATATGGATACCGGGACATGTCGGCCTAGAGGGTAATGAACGTGCTGATTCCCTCGCCAAAATTGGCGCAGGCTCGCCATTCGTGGGCCCAGAACCGACACTTAGCGTTCCCAAAAATCTCGCAAGAGACAGGCTCTGTGAATGGGTTAGGGGTGAGACATTCCGAGACTGGAATGACAGTCCCGGAATGGAGCATGCCAAGAAAATCCTAGCAGGGCCATCCAAACATAGAACAGGAGAACTCCTAAAGGCCGGTAGGAATGGAACGCGTGTGCTCACTGCAGTGTACACGGGCCACTGCCGGCTGAGATCTCACCTACAGAGGACGGGACTGGTGGAAGACGCCGAATGCCGACTCTGTATGGAAGATGATGAAACAATGAAGCACGTTATGTGTACCTGCCCCGCTGGGAGCAGGACCAGGTTTGAGATGTTTGGCAAACCCTGCTAGACCTATCAGACCTAGGAGACATATCGCCCTCAGACATAACGGCCTATATTAAGAGGCTGGGTCTTGAGGATGAACTTTGACGCTCTTATAAATTAGAGCTTGTAGAAACTGAGCCACAATAGGCCCTCGCGGCCTCAGTGGAGGGTCCCCTATGGGACCCACTCTTAGTCAAATACAATACAATACAATACAATCGGTTCGTGGTCGGAAACTCTACGCACTGCGCTATGGAGACATGTTCGACTTCTATTCAATACTATAATTTATAGGACTAAATTAACAAAAAATATAGGATCTTCTTTCGATGCGCAGTAGCGAACGCAACGGGTATCGGCAGCCAGACGGGCCGCATGCTGTTCCAGAGAGCATAGTAAAAGATATATCAAAACTTCTTAAAATACTTTCTTGAAAACGTTGCTAGCTCTTAGACTAATAGTTCTGTTATAAAAATGCACTATAATATGAGCCAGATGTGCCTAGGGCCGTGTTAAAATAAATTGGTACCCTAGGTACCATTTTCCACCCCCTTCGCTAAAATTTGGACAATAAATGGATTATTTTTTATCGGGTTTTAAACTGTTTTAAACTAAAAAAGTTTTTTTTAAGTTACATATGTATAATGACGGCAAATTCAAAGCCAAAATTTGAGTTAGTAGACCAAATATCGACAAAGGTCAAAAATGAATTTGTTCAGAGTTATTATTGTACCTATGTACAGGGTGAGTCAACAATAGAGTAAAGTCCATTATCTCATTTGTTTCAAGGTTTACAAAAAAATGTTTAATATAAAAGTTATAGGGATGGTTAAGATACACATTTTAAAATTATTATAGAGTATACAAGGTGCTTCAAAAAAGTGTGGCGGCTATAACATATGTTTTTTTAAATGCAACACCCCATTTTTTATTTTATTTTTAGATTCTGCGTAAAATTCCATAACTTTTTTTGTATATAATGTTATATACCTAAAATTAATAGTTTTTGTAATATTTCAATTTATTTAAACAAATGTTAAATTGCAATGTGGTAAAAGATTGTCAGTGGTTCCATTGTGTCTGAAGTTGGAGTACCAAAATTTCTTAGCAGAGTTTTATAGAGATGAAAAAAAAGATATACGTAAAGATAGTTTAGTTAAATGATACAGGGTGTTCAAAATATATTTGTGAATTTCAACTACTTAAAATTAAAAAATCTCAATTTTTTTAAATGGGACACCCTATATATTATCATTTTTTCTGATAGATTTAACAAAACTCTTCAACTTTTATTAAGTATGTCATATCCCTATTTTTAATAGTTTGCGATTTATTCCCATTTTTTCTATTTTTACCTATATTTTTAATACAATTACCCCATGGTACAAAGAAAACAAGGTATGATCGATAGCGGCTCCAATTTCGTTAAGTTTGCGCATACCACCTGTGACGTCATACGTCATACAAAAAAAATAATCATATTGTCCAATTGCCACTAATAAAAAAAGACCTAAAATAGGGAAGAATTAGGACATAACCCCAAAAGTTATGTCAAATCATCGAGCTTGACATTTGAAACATTATTTTCACATTTATAATGTCATCTGTTTGAAAATTTGAAATTGGCGCGCGGAGCTTGCCTGCCAATGGTGCCGTTTATCACCTGTGACGTAGTGACCAACCTGCGCAATATCATACCTTGTATTCTTTGTATCTAGGGTTCCCAACTTGAGCATCGGCGATTCCGGGACAATTATCTTTAAGCTTTTAAATAATTGAAAGAAAACATTAAATATTAGAAAAAAAATATATTATGTGTGTAGTACACACTTTTTTAGTTACCAGGTCCCGGCTTGTCCCGGCCAAGACAAAACTTTCGCCGGTACAAACTTTCTGATTCCTGGTTAATCCCGGCCAAACCGGGACGGTTGGGAACCCTATTTGTATCATGCAATTACCCTATCAAATCATAGTTGCCATGACAAAACAAAACTATTTATTACTTACCTTTAACAAGTAGCTTCATAATCAGTAAATAACGTTACAATTGCTGGTATTAGTTAAAATTAATTAACTTTACTCAAATAAATTAAATCGCAGTAGTGAATTTCTTGGTGTATTTCTATATTATGAAAGATGACACTTGGGATTTTTCGTCGGGGTGAATAGCCACAGATTAGGGTAATACTAGATTACCTAATTGCTGAAGACTATACTGATATATGAATTTTCTTCGACGTACAGTAAAGTTTTTTCTCGTATTAATTCTGGTTTATAATTCATTTGGTAAAGCCAATATTACTATTGCCGCGGTACTCTATATTGCATTAATTTCTGCTTAAGGTAGCAGAAAAATTAGATTTTTATATCCTTACACCTCCTAATTTATGTGATTTTCTTAGCATATCTAAAATATAAAAATATATGATTTATTATATAATTAAGATATCTTAACAGTTATTTTCCACACCACAAAGCATAATAATATGTAGTAATAAGACACAAAAAAAATCTTAATATCAATTCAAGACGATCAAAATTCTACCTTCACCATATTGTCAAGATTTTATTTTGGCATTACAAAAAACAAAAAATTACAGGAAATTAAGAAAAGGATAATCATAAATATACCAATATCATATATATATATATTGGTATATCAATATACCAAGTAGAAGATATTAAATACTGTAATGTATTCTACGACAAACCACCATCCCTTTTCTAAAGAGTAAAAGATAAAACATAAAGATATATTTCTTTTAGATTTTTAACACCCTGAAGATCAGACAGGGAGCACTTTAGACCCTATGTTTATATGAGATTTTTTTTTCTTAAAAATACTTGAGCAATCATACCCTGTATTTTTTTTAGACTAAATATGTAAGCTTTCATCGAACAAATTTTGTATCGAAAAGACAACCAATTCTTGTTTACTCTTGTGTTGTTTCGGAGGTTGGAAATTGTTAAAAATCTACAAAAACATAATTAATAGGGCACAGAATCATGTTAAATGAGGTTTTTAATTGATTTCAAAGCAAAATTGGTGAAATAAAAGCAAAAAATCTTGGCCATTACATTGACTAAGAAGATGTCTTGTAGATGTTATAAATAGGGGTATTACTGCCTTGTTTTATA